AGGTTAATCTTAATCCGTGAAATATTCTTCTTCGGTCGAAAGGGAATTTCCTTTCGTCTCCTTTTCGTCGCCGCAAAGAACCACGGATGTAATGCGTGAAACGAGATAAAGCGGCGGAACCGACCGGACGACTTCTATGACACCAAGAAGAACAAGAAGAAGAAGAAGAAGAAGCGAGGCAAGAGAGCAATGATTAGCGCGAAGACGGATCAGATAGACAAATTCTCTGGCGAATTCCTGTTCTCTTCTTTGCACGGGACATAATACACGATGCTAGGCATAAACAGGTCTCGTTGTTGATGCCTAAGCCATATGGCAGCGCAATAGCACCGTAAAGTCGAGCAGCTGTGCCTAACCCACCTTCGGGGCATTTGAAGATATATAAATTACCGTCTCTCTTTCTACTTATCACACCTCCACCTTCTTTCACATATGCACCTTTGCCGCTAATCGTGCTTAATACACGCTACCGGTGTAACGAATCTTCATTGCACCTCAAGGCGAGCTATCTGTGATTGTTTCTATTACAGATAAAATAACTTTTGAATTTTCGTTTTTCTTGTATCTTTCACTTTATGTTGCTTTTTAAGGTGCATTAATAATTTATAGATTATTTATAGATTATTTCTAGATTAATAATTTAGATTATTGATAATTTATTATATATAATATTGATAATTAATACTCAATTACGATATCGCGAGAAGTATCTTTTTTATCACATTAGCCGCATTAATTTTGTATTTTTTGATTTAAGAATTTTTAAACGGTGCGATAATCATTAATCACCGCTAATCCGGCTATCATCCAAGACACGTTAAGGATTTTATTTTTGCGTTTCTTCGGCATGTACGCTGCGCTTTGTGAGAAGATAGCGGCCGAGTATCTCGCGCGGGAGGGGTCGACGCGAAGTGGGATTGGAAAAGAACGAAAACGTGTTGGCCGGTGGTAGAAAACGAACAAGAGGGATCGTCCGGGATAATGAGAAAAAAATCGCAGCGAAATCTGGTAGGAGAAGGTGGCGTGGAGGAAGAGGAGGAGGCCCGTCCATGCACCGTTGCGCTCGACTGTCCGTACGTCCGCCCGTCTGTCCGTACGTCCTGGACAGAGACCCGTCGGCCCTTGGGACCAGAGGATGGACGGATCGCAGATTACGTGCATTTCAGATTCGCTCGCGCAGCGACTCGTATTTCCCGGCGCGGTAATAAATTACGATCGTAATCGTCGTGTACGCGTGCACGCATTGTCGGTCACGCTGGACGACGCTGGTCGCCTTTAAACTCTTCTACCGGTTGGCTGCCGATGAGACTCATTCACGGGCTTCCCTGTTCGCCGGCCAAACTCTCGTCGTGAATTAATAGCGATTGATTAATTAATTATCCGACGCTAAAATTGAAGGTTCAATGATGCAGTTTATTTTCTAATTTAATTCGATTTATAATTCAATCTTTAATTCGATGCATATTTTATTCGCATTCTCTCTAATGAAACTTATGAAGAGATTCCAGTACGTCGGGCGATCTTCGGGGTTTTCAGCTTTTTTCCGAGATTTTTATCGAGATATACACACGTATCGCCGTTTCGTTTCACCAAACCTGAGACTACCTTTTCGTCCTTCTCAGCAGTGATGCTCAAAGATTCGCGCACGGCCCCCCCGCCGATGATGTCTGGAGGCCTTGACTGGGCCCCTAACTCCGAGCATACCCGGCGGGCCCTTCCTTCGTCCTCTCGCCGCCAATCTCCGCACACGATCACACTCAATGAACTACACAAATTCACATACGCAACCCTTATATCCACATCACATGTATCCTTCGCTGCCGGCGCCTTCAACCTCCGGGGCGTCTGAATTCAAATTCAAGTCTATCACATGTCCGTACAACAGGTACAGGCGTACAGATGATATTTGTCAAACGTGAATTTCTTTATGAAACATCATGCGCATATATATGTGCACGTGGGATACCGTCAACGATAACAAATTGTCGCCTCAACGGGGGGGATCCTGCGCGTCGATTATGACGCTCGCGATTAAAAACACTTTGTTTCTTGTAAAAAAGAAGTTGATTTGCATAACGCTATCTTTTAAATTATAAAATATTTAAAAATCATATATAAATTGCATCGATTAGTTATAGATATTTTCTTGAAAATGTATTTTTTCCAAAAAAAGATATCTATCTTCTCTCTTTATCAATTATCAAATTTGCTATGAACAAGGGAAAGCTCGATTATAATCATTTTCTACGTTTCTATTAATTACGCAACAACGCGAATTACTCTTGATAAGGTACCTATAAGTCCGGTCCCGGTCCATTTCGTCGCAGATTTACAATTCATCAAGGTAAAAAGGGCACGAGGGTAGATCTATCACGTACGCGCCGAAGAAACGCGCGGCGAGAGGCCGACGTAAATTTATCACAACGTTATCTCGTCCGTTGTGGAACCACGTTCGTTAATTTTATCCCAGCCTTTCTTGGATCCATGCCTCCCCTCCATCCTTTCCTTCGCCATCCCCTGATACTTCTTTGTCTCACCCTCTTTTTTTCCAATTCTCTCGTTGGGATCAGGTAAATCGATTCGACATAGACTCACGAAAATCCAGAGTCGACAGAAATGCGACTTATTCGTTTACACCGAATTTTATTTCGGACAGACTTAGAACTTGCCCGGTATACATCGCGTGACTCTCTCGAAAGCGTGTTTTAATCTTTCCTGAAGAGGCGAAGCGCGAATTAACTCTGAAGGAAAGAAAAATTTTTGCGAAAAGAGCTTTACAATCTGGATAAATACAAGTATCTGGTAAAAATAAAATCAATTCGTCTTACGATAGGAGGAGGACGAAGAAGAAAAAGATGCTATTACGAAGCCGAATAGTACAAGAAAATGCCGAGTAAATTCCACGTTTTCAGCCTCCGTGTTAAACATAGAAGACAAGCCGCGATCTTGGAAGAAATTCCTCGAGCAGCGATATACGGCTGGGCGTCGTCAAGCGTAATGAATATAAATTTAATTAAGATTAGAATTTCGGAGAAGAGCCGGGTTCAGACCGAAGCAGGTTCTATGGATCCGGACCTCCATCGCTAGTCCTCTTCGCCGGTCCTACCTGGTCACCAATTAAAATGTCTCGTGCCACTTTTTTCGAAATTTTAATTGTCACACGCGGTATATTATATTTATTATATTATTCTACGTCATAATAGATAATTATTTGCGGTATTATTTTTGTCGATTAAAATTATTACTTATATTGACGGGTATTTAGTCCTTTCTCGTAACAGATGTACCGTCCTACTCATTTCTCAAAGCTACATGACCATTATACATCTGGACGAAGACGACTTCATCGGACGTCATGATGCCGCGTTAATTAACGTTTCTCATTAATACGATCGGTTGCGTGAGCGGGCTTCGAAAGCGATTTCGTCGTTTGAGAGGAGAGATGCGGCTCAGGACTAGTCGTAATACTCCTTTTGTTATTTCTCCCTCTTCTATCGAAGCCTCGCGCAGATCCTTCAAGCTCGACCTCCCTTTCTGCTCCAACCGCCTTCTTAATCTTCCTTTAATTCCCCGGCTTTCTCGTTTCTTTAGCTTCTTTTTCCATTCTTTCGTTTTCTTCGTTTCGTCTCTTCGTTGTGCTTCTTCTATTCTTCTGCTCCTTCTTCTTCTTCCTCCTTCTCTCCACCTCGTTCTCCTCTCTTTGTTGTCGTCCCCTTTTTGTATACCTATCTCCCTGCTTCGCGGCCTTTCACCGGCTCTCTTCGTCGGAGAGAGATACGCGCCGACAGGTTTCGAACTGTCTCGTATCTCATGGGGAGCTGCTTCGGCGCGAAATCAAGTCGAGGAGTTTGTTTCTTCGTCCTCACTTTTGCGCTCGAACATTTCCGACATTGACGTGTCGTCGTCAAGAGCAATCAAGATTATGTATTGCAATTTCGCTTTTAGTATTCAACTAAAAAACTACTAGTTCTATTTTATATATTAAAGGAAAAATCGCATTATTATAATTTGGATTAAAATATTTTATTCCAATTAATTACATTGAAATTAGGCTTCGAAAAACTTTTATGGAACAATATGATATTTTGCTTTTCTTTTTTTTCTCTCTCGTTTACGTTATTTTTTATAGTAATTCTGACGAACTGTACTTTGATTTAATCATTGAAGTGACTCACAGAGAGCAAAGAAAAAGCGTTGAGAGATTGTCGATTCCACGCGGTCGTATATGTTATGCAATCGATAAGCGACGATAAGAAGAAAACGAGTCCTTCCCACGCGATTGAACGACGAGACGGTGATCCATTAGTCGTTAGTCCATCTAGTTAGATAGCGACCGTTTTATTAATCCTTGTTCGCATTCTCATACCTACACAAATCGCTTTTTGCACGATAACCGTGCTAATTTCACGTCGCAATCGTGTGAAAATAATTTGTCGTGTATGAAGCATTAATAATCACAAAAAAATTGTTTTACAAAACTTTTTATATATTAATTTAGTTTTGTACATAAAACAAAACTTTTTGTGTATTAATTTAATTTTTTATATATATTAATTTAGTAATTAATTTAGTTTTTTTATATATTAATTTAGTAATTTGATTTTTGAATTAATTTCTTATTAAAACAACTATTACTTTAAGAAATCAATTACTTAAAAAGAACAATCGATAATAAATAACATATTTTGATGTGTATATTAATGAATTAAATAAATTAAAATTGAAAATTTTTCTGTTTTTTTTCTACATTTCATTAATTGCAATATAATATCATTGCAACATCATTACAAAAAGTATATGTAAGAAATTATAGCAAGAATGATAATATAGATATACGTTTTTACTTGATCAGCAGGTCGAAATTATGCAGCTTCGATACTTTTTTGTACGATGAGGATCGTCCTTTTCAGACATCAAGATTTATCGATTGTCCGGTTGTCTTCCAATCGATCAACGATCATCGTGACTCCGAAATAAAGTCTAATAGGAGACAGACTTACCAATAGATTGACAACGCCAGTGTGATCGTCTATCCAGGCGAGTAAGATGTCGGCTCCCATCATATGGCTCTTCTCGTTGAAACCAATGCCTACGTAGCCCAAGGTCTTGGCAGTGACCCTGAATATTACTTCCTTGTTGTCCGAGGGATCCCATTCGAGGATCACATCACCGTCCTCGTCGAGCTTCTCGTACCTGATGAACTTTGGCACTCTGTTATTAAATCTTCTTCGATTAACTCCATCTTCTTTCGCACTTCTTTTAAATCTCATCTTCAGCTTGTCTTTTTGGATGTGAGGCTTGCCCGATTTTTCAACAGGAGGAAAATACTTTTTCGGTATCCGATTTTCCCATAATTTCGGCATCCTTTTGAAACTTGAATTATCGATTAACTTTGGATCGATTTGTTCGTTCTCGTTGATGATTTCAAACTGAGAATTCTCTTCATCCCCCATCTCTTTAGAATTCTTCCATTCTTTCACAGACATTTCTTCCAATTCTAGAGGTTGGATGACGAATTTTTCGCCATTGGTCTGATTCTTTAGAACGATTGGAAGTTCGTCCTTTAACTCTTCTTTTTGTTCTTTGATCGCATAATGCGAAATATTCGATTCTATTTCATCTTTAATGATATTAGATGTTGATTTCACAATCTCGATTCTTTTTTTGATCGGTAATTGTGAATTTTTGGTTTCACAAATTATTGTCGTTTCCTCAGGAAACGAATCCTGTTTCGAATCCTGCGCACCTAAGAGCATTTCATATTGATCAGGATCGTGATTTTCCTCTAGTTTATTCGGATGGTTCAAAACGTCGTTTTGATAAGGAATCCATTCCTGATCAACATCCAATAGTTGTTTATCAATCTTGAGGAGTTCTTCATTTTCGGGACTCCTCTTTATCCTTCTGGAAACGGGATACATGGAATGCCGCTTGTTATTGTACAACTTCGTCCTCATAGTCTCGTCCATGTGCTGGACATAGAGATCTAGCAGATCGCACTTGACGATCCAGCATGCGATCAACATCACGATCACCCTGAGTAGAAACATCTTCCGCTTCCTTTTCTGTTTCCTGATTCTTCATACGATCATTTAAACAATTTCTGACGTTTGTATCAATATTACGGCCATTAATTTGTCTTTTCCCTCTCTTTCTCCCAGTTTCTTATATATATCTAATTAAATATATTTATATATACAACCGAAATTCAATTTATCACAATCATCTTTCAGCTGTTACATTCAAATTCAACTGTAATCTCCGTGCAAAAATTCTTAATTATTTATTGCAAGCATTATGCACTCGCAAGCTTCAGGAAAAAAAATAATTTCTTTTTCACGGGAAAGAATTCTTGGATCTTATTTTAGCGGAAAGTTAATTTTGATGCTAATATCTAGAATTTATATCGATTGTATTTGTGCAACAAAAATTAAGATAATTCGAAGTGCATTAAATACTAACTTCTTTCACGGTTTTTCGTTAATTCGATTTCCAACACACCGGATTCGCGAACGATCTTCCATACATGTTGCGCGCACGACAGTTGTACCGGGACTAATTTAAACATGCGGCTGCCGCTGCCCCTGCAGATGCTCGCAGCTGCTTACCTGGCTCCGGTCCCCTTCCTTCAGGGCCCTCCAATACAGGGACGTACTGTGTTCGTAGGTAGCAGTCGCATTAAATCGCACAAACACAATTCTTCTCTATCACGTATCTTACCTTTTCGACGTAGAAAATGAAAGGAAATGGGATCTACGACTCTATGAACAAAATAAAATTTTTCCTAAAAGCAATTTTTTAAGAGCAATTTCTAATTTTAATTATAATTATAATTCTTCTTATTTTAATTATAATTATGATTTCTTGATTTTTTTATAAAAGTGAAGCCGAATATTGTATAATATTGTATAATTTCTTGATTTTTTTATAAAAGTGAAGCCGAATATTGTAAATCATGTTATTTTGTTTTGTTGAACGAATTATTTATTTAAATGCACACATCTCTCTTAAAGAATATCTTGTTTATTATTTGTTCAGTTTGCCGTGGATCAATTTGCGTCTTTTTGTATTCGGCTTGTTACGTGCGGCCTCCGTTACGTTCAACCGCACGTAATGAGCCGACTTGTAATATTCTGCGAAAATAAACCTCCTGCAATATATTGCGAAATCGCAGCGATCGAGATATGTAAAATCTTCCTCTTTCTACGATTTCACGAGCGAGTTCGCACGGATCGTTGGAGCGCGATAATCGCATACATTACGATTATCGCACATACGATTATTCCACCATCGAATGCGGTTCGTTCACGCGTTTACGAGAACGTTTCGTTGAGGGACGAAAGAAGAGGGATCTTGGCGGTGCTTCCTGCGGAAGCGTCCCTCCCTTTTTCTCCCTATTTTTCTTTTTTGTAACCGGAGACTTATGCACACGTCGATGGCAATGTACGGCGATACTGGTGACGATGGTCTTCTCTCTTTCTAGAAAAGAGAATGAGGGGCTGTAAAGCAGATTGCGGCAGATGCGAACCCTTCTGGCACGCGCCCTTCTGTTCCCCAACGATTCTCGCGTCGACCCTCGCCTCTTCCTCAATGAAGTGCTTCGCAAAATTTCGCTTGCTTCGTCGATATCGTATAAAGTTTATTATGAAGTTTATTTTTTTTTATATATATGTATGAAGTTTATTTTTTTATATATACTATAATAAATTAATAAATTATTTAATATTTTTTTGAATTAAGATGATAGATTATTGTTGCGCGAATTATTGTGCGTGAAATAAGTTTCTGAGTGGAAATGTATCGCACATTTATTTATTAATACACGATTTATGCGAATCGATATATTTGATTCATCGATATCGTTGAAGGTGCTATTGATTCGGCGTTTAATCGTGCGAATCCCATCCGTTCGGTGGCGATATATTATTCCGCTTAAGTGTCCGCACGTGTTCAGAAGCCAACTGTATCGAGTTACTTCCTGTAACTGACATTGAAACACTATACTTCACGTATGAGACGAGTTGGGATCCTTATTCTTTACAAACGAAGACAGCGATCGATACGCAACGGAAATGTCTTACGAAATATTTCCTGAAATAATAAAGTCGTATATTAATTATTAAAATAAAACATGATAAACGATCCAGCGCAAATTAAAATATAAGTTTTCGAAAATTTAAAAAATTATTTTGCAATTTGATACCTAAGAAAATAAAATGATAAAAAATATATTTAACATCCATTTCTTATCTTGACGCAAATTTTTGTCGAGATGCAATTTAATTTCATTTTACAATACATCATCGTCATTCGCATCAATTTTTGACGGGGTTGATTTTTCAAATTAGCGTGGTCGGGAGATTCGACGAAGGATCAGGATTTATTTTACGACTTGTCGGGTAACTTTATGACGTAGACATAGCGATACAATTTATAGCCTCATCGACATAAAAAATATCTCCTAAAACAAACCGCTCGACTCCGAATCTCTTCCTATCGATCCTCACAATCTCTCGCAAACTATTCTTATCGCGAAGAAATGCCGCGGAAGATGCACGACGATCGTAGAAATCGTACGTTTGTATTCATCCGGCAAAATTATTCATCCCTTCCACTAATACCGGTTCGTACTAACGAGAAAGAAGAGTCACACGGGAGTATCGACTTCACGCCACGACGCAAATCGCGTCGTCCTGGGAAAAACTGATGAAGCGCCGCGAAGAGCATAAGAAGCGATTCATTCCTATCGACTGCACGTGCACGCGGGGGAATCGATATCGGGACACGCACTCTCGATCGCGTATTCCGCGCGCGTATCTACGCGCATCGATGCCCGAAATAAATCGTCGAGAGACAAGGTCCCGTCCGCGCATATCAAAAAGAAATCCCGGCTATTCTCTCGCACGGGCATCGAAAGAGCGATATTAATCGCCACATCAATTTTTTCCAACAGTACGATATAATTCCGATTATGCTATGTTTATTCACGACAATAAAACTGCGATTGGTGCGTAAGATTTTTTGAGACTGAGAAATTTAATATATCGAAATTATTAGACTTAATTTCCGTGATGCGTGGCTATAAATAATTTTTGTTATTTTATTTAGTTTTCGAGATCTTTAAAAAGTTCGGTGGCAATCTGAGGTGGGAATTAAAACCGTCTGCTCCCAGTTCACCTGTCATGCACGCGCGCTTGTCACTATCTATACACCTGCTACATAATCTTTGCCCCGGCATCTGCCTCTCAAGGTTTTGTATATCCGTTTGGCAGACCCTGTCCAAGTTAACTCCTTCCACATATATGTATATGTAAATATTAGATCGTTGGATCAAAATGTGCACTATGTGCGTGCCACTTAGTCCCTTTTAAAATATAATATAATATGAGAAAAAACGTTAAAACCGATAGAGTTCCATTAAAACACGTAAAATGCTTGTAAGAAATAAAGAGAGAATTATGCTTATATTTAGCAATTTTTCATATTTCTTTAAATTTTACCTTTTCCCCCAAAAAATGCAAAAATTATTTTTCTATAGTTATTTTTCTATCATTTTTCTATTATGTTCTAATTATTTTTTCTATGTATACAGAAATTATTTAAAAGAAAAAAATATACATATACATACCAGAGAGAAGACAGAGATGTTATGGCTCGCTTTTAGGTAATTCTTGAAAGCGATACTCCCTCTGTAGACATTAAAAATGTGGACATGAACTACAAAGCCAAGTCCACGAATGTTTTCTCAGATGATAACATATAATGCACAATTTCTGGTTTTGTTCCGTGCTATATGCACGAAATGCCGATAGCATCAGTGCTGTATAGCAAGACGCTTATGTATATAAATTAATAGTAAATAAATTATTCAATTCACGAAAGATACTGTATTCTTCCAATGTAATGTTTAAAGATAAAATAAATATTTTTCTATATATTCATTGTCATATTTATATATTTTTATTTACAAAACAAAAAATGCCTGCTGTGGGATAAAATCATTTTTAACCGTATTTCCATAAACCTTCTTAATTAGCAGTAAGTTAATCTTTGATATTTATCAATCATTTTTTTAATTATTCAAAAATTTAATTATTAATACATTTATAGAATTTGTTAAATTAATCACTGATTCTTCTGAAGTTTTTATAAATAAGATTCGAAAAATATAGATGTTGCAAAATATTTTAAATGTCTCTTCCTTTATATAAAATATAAAAAATTCATATGATCCATTCTAATATAGCCAACATTATTTATATACTTTTATTATAATTTTTATATCAGCATAAATATTTTTATGCTTAATACTTTATATAATACAATGTACTAAATTATAAAATTTGATATAATTACAAAATAGTATTATTATTAATAAATAGGTTGTTGCACACTGTTTTTTAGTTTCTAGTAATTTCTAATCACTATGCATTTCTATCCAATATATTCTCTTCTTCGAGTTCTTGGATTATTATGGTTTATTGTGTTCCTTTGTGTTACCATCATAAGGATTATCATCATTTGTCATGCTTATTCTTTTCTATAGAGTCCATCGAAATACTTTTGTATTTTGTACATGTGTTCCCGGGTATAGATATTTAAATCATGTAATTATCTCTTTTCTATTTTCTCGATTAATGTCTCTTTTTCTTTTATTTTATTTAAAAATATTAATATAATTAATAACATATACATATTTATATAATAATTTTGTATTATCTCTCTTAATCTGATTCCCTGTCCGGCATGGGTAACTCTACCAGTAACTATGGCCAATATTCATAATCCACTCTTATATTTAAGATCGTTTTAAGTAGGTTGAAAAATGTTATACAACTATTTTACTAATTGAAAGGAATCTTAAGACCTGATCTAAGATCATACTTAAGATTATTTTAAATATAAGAATAGTCTACATGAATATCGATATATGTTACCGCCGGAGCTCTTAGATTCATTAGAATACTCAAATCTCCTCACCCGGCAAACGCCTTCGTTAAGGCGTTAGAGATACATAGAGGAGGAGAAATTTTTTTTATTTTATTTTTATTTTCTTTCAATACAGGATTTAATACAAAAAGTAATGTAAAATATAATTTGAAATGTAATACAAAATGTTCAAAATATACGTATAATATAAAATTTACTAAAAATTTTTACATAATCCAGACAAGACTGATTAGCGATGATTAATTATGTAATATTTATCATATTAATGATCGATATGCAATAATAGAATTTAATAAGTTTTACGTAATGTAAATGATCGTAATCAAAAGAGTCATTAATAAAATTATTGATCATTTCTTTGAAGAAGAAAGTATTTGCATTACTGGCGCATTTAGTATAGATTATCAAAGAAAATATTCAAAATACGAAAAAATAAAATAAGCTTTGATGTAAATCAACAATTAAATTACAAAATAAATCGCGATTTAAAATTCGCGAGAAAACGATAATAATCGAAATATTCAATTACGAGAAATATACGTATAATTTTTATAATATGATAATCAAAACCATCAATAGATACGCACGCGACATAATTATTATCACATAAATGATGATACACAAAAATATTTTGATAAACATTTGTAGTCCGTATTATTTATGAACATAAAATTCACCGTCCAATTTATTTGTAATACACGATTTTACACGAATTTCGCGATTGAGAATAAAATACATATCCTATCTCGCGCATGATTAGCTAAATAAGATAAAATGAACTTTATAAGCTTTAAAATATAAAATTAAAAAATCGCGCTATCGCCACGTTTAATAGAGAATTGAATGATTTTATCAAGGCCTCTCTAATAACCGATGTAATAATAGAATTTAATATAATTTATATAGTGTAAACAATCGCGATTAACATAGTCATTAATAAAGTTATCGATTGTCTTTTAATTATAGAAAAAAATATTTACACTACTAGCGCATTTTGCGCAGACTATTAAAGATAATATTTAAACATGCGAAAAGATAGACAAAGCTTCTATATAAGTCAACGATTAAATTATAAGAAAATATTAAATTATAGGATAAATCGCGATTTATAAAATTTGTGATAAAACGCGACGAATAAATAAATCGATAATATTCAAAATATTCAAATGCATGATTTTTATAATATAATAATCCATCAGTTACGCGAGTAACATACCGGTAATATTCGATAAAAAGAAAAACTTAAAAATGATCTTAAAAATGAAAAACGATTAATATCTTGTTTCTACATCAGATTTCGCAAGATCAATCGGCGAAGAAAAGTTAAGTAATCTATTGAACATCGGGAATTTTACTGTAGGAAGGAATGAATCCTGGATCTTCCGAACTATTCCCAATAGCAATGATTTCAGTAATAAATCAACGACAATTATCTCTCGTCATTATCTTTGATTCACGAAATTGATATTTACGTCAAAACATGTTCATACATATAAAATGATAAGTATCTAAAAACTAATGTTTTAAAGTGGCGTTGGATGTCCAATATCTGCAAATAGTTTCTTAAAAGAAACTAAAAATTAATGTTAATATTTCGAGTATCTAGAAATAATTTTTTAAAAGAGATAAATTATATTAATTAAAAAATATATTCAGTCGTAATCATTTTTATCACAAAATTAATAAAAATTAATTGCAATATGAAATTACTTGAAAAATAGAAATTTATACACAATAACTATATCCATATTCAATCTACTATTAAATCTTTCTTGCATTTGAGAATAATAATACCAATATTAATAATGATAGAACATTTTTAACGAAGAAAAGAGAGGATACATTTCTCTCTCTCCCTCCCTCTCTCTCTCTCTCTCTCTCTTTCTCTCTCTCTGTCTTTCTCTTATCTAAATATATATTATTCAAATTAATTCGATATTAAAGAAGCATATGGCATTCGTCATTAAATTACTACTGAAATTATTGTTTTGGGAAGTTGCCAGGAAAACCTGGGATTAATTCCATTCTTACAATAAAAATCTCCCATTTTTAACAGGACATCGAACTAGACGTCACGAATGGATCTTACAAGAACTGATGAGAAATAATTCTCCACGATGAAAATCGTTTCGACTCCTGGTCCGTACTTTCATTAACATTTACATAAGGTACGACGTTAAAGGTACAACGATAATTCATTAAAACAAACAATAGAATTTTTGCAATCGTAATTTATTTATATAATATTTATAGAATATTTTCCAATACGAAATTCGTAAATACACAAATATAATTTTTATAATTGAAGAAACAAATTAAATTCATAATAATTAACTCGCGATTCTATAATATCGAGGGTAATCGTCAAATTTTAAACTAATATTTAATCGTTAATTTCTGTCTAAAAGAAGTGTCTAAAAGAAGTGAATATTGTTTTCACAAAAAATAACAATCGCTCATTTTTTCTTTTCAAAAACCCGACACCTAAAAATATCAATATATTAAAAATCTCATATTTTCTTTTCAAAAACCCGACACCTAAAAATATCAATATATTAAAAATCTAGATTAAATCTCTCCTTTACTCTCTCATAGTATATCTGATCCATGGATGTTTTTTTCTTCAAAAATTTGATGATTTCAGAAACATGTCAATTACATGATACTTTTGTATGCATGATTTATTTCACGCACAGTATCTTCTAAAATTTCAATTAAAGCTTTTTCATCATTTATTATTGATTTATCAGCTATTAAAGATAGATTTAAATTGCCTCCATAAGTAATCAGAGACAAACCGAGAGCAGTTGTACCCCTGAAAATAAATTGTAGGTCATATTTTATAATTTTATTGTTATAATTTTTCTTATTTTTATTTATTCCAATAAAAAATAGAATAATGAGATGCAATACCTGTTTGGTACCCAAAAGGTAAGGTTGCTTGCTAAGTAATTATTGAGAGTATGAAATTTTTCTGGTCCATACATATTACTGAATATCATAGTGCTTTGACCTAATAGAAGTTTCAAAATTTTTGCCGGCAATATCGTGAATAAATATTTTATAATCCAAAAATTAATTAATATGTCCGAACATTTTCTGAATTCATTATTTTCTTTTGTAATATCCTGAAGACGTTTAAAAAATTGAGAATCTTTATTTGGCTCGCTGATCTTCTGTCCATTCACCTTAGAAATGCAAATTCGTAGACAACCAATTGAAAAATTGTTATCGAACATTATATATTCATCAGGCATTGTTATTCTTATCGGTAAAAAAACTGTTAATGAATCGGGTGCTGGTCTATTAATCTGCAAGGCAGAAACATTACATATGCGATATAAAAAAAATATAGTCTATTAATTTAATTGTGCAAAAGCGTCAATTTTTCAAGTATAATTTTAGGCGTATTTTAAATATTTTCTGGACTTGTGTTATTTAATTTAAAAACATATATTTACCCGTGAATAATACTTGTGTACACTAGCAGAAAAAGCTGTCAATATTACATCTTCAAATCTGGTACTTGTTCTTTTTTTTATTTCGCGAACCTTCATAAGAAGCTTTTGTTTGTCAATAGCATTGTCTAACCAGTAGGATATGATCTTTTCACCTGTTTGTGATGGACCATGTAGAGAGCTATAATATACATTTATTTAATATATATTATTAGGATAAAACTTATTTTATTTTGTAAAACTTATTTTATTCTAGATATATAAAATTTATTTTATTAGATAAATTAAAAATTTTATATGATAAAATTTGATTGAAAAACTTTATTATATAAAATTATCTAAATTTTTCGGAAATTGGAAATATTTATTATAGCTTATCCCTTTTTATGAAATAATCAGATATTGAATATATATATATGTACTTTTTGTCTATACTATAAGTCTGTTTAATTAAGCATTTTGGAGTCAAAAGGATGATCATTGCCAAATGCATGATTTTTTTAATTTTTTCATATGCTTGTTTCAGGCAATCTTTGAAATTCAATCTATGATTGATTGATATTTTCGCTTGCCGTTTTAGAGAATCGATCGTTGTAATCTTAGAATATTTCAATAACACAAGAAAGTGGCCTCGTAAATTTTTCAAAACTCGTGACAGTGTTGTAAAAGACATAAATGTGGCGAAAATATTCTTTTTATAAGATCGTACAATTTTCTCACTCAAATTTCTTGTCTCATGCGTAAGATTTTTTTCCGAATTACGCAGCGGTGAAACAAGTTCTTTGAAATTTGTTTCATTCGCATTAATCGATATATTTTCGATTTTTACTTTCGTCTTGTCTTCATCAAAAATCGTTTCGAAACAAAATCTTACGATAGATACTCCATCGCCCAGAGAATGATGAATGCGAACTATTACAGGAATCTTGCAAGTATCGGTGTCAAAGCATTCTTCGAGAGCCGAATGACTGTCAATGCGAGATCTACCTCTCGAACAACGTTTTCCGACCAGAATCTCCCAAGAGGCTGTGTGATCATCGGGCAATGTTTTATTGCATATGCTTCCTAAATTCTTCTTAAAGAATTCACTAGATATATCTTCACAAGATCCATCGCAATCAGCGTTCTCGCATTCCAGCCATCTGATCCTATTATTCAGATCGATCTCTTCATTTCGCTCCCAATAGTAGTAACCAAACTTTTGTCTTCGACGATAAAATAATTTTTCAAATATCGTACCAGTAGCCTTTGAAATTATACGATCATGTATTAGATCCTTCAAACCTTCTAAAAAAATCACGTTTGAGTTTTGCTCGGTTTTTTCTATTATTATTAAAATATTAATAATGGAAAGACAAACAGCATCTTCACTAGCCCATACACTATCTGTGCCTTTCAAAAAACCAATAAACTTATCCTTTAATTGTATTCTTAAAATGATTTCGATCAGACAATGATAGATATATAAGAAACTCAGAATGACAAGAATCAACGGAGTAAACAGATAAGCAAGAATAATTGTTATAATTGTAAACAATTGCTGTAATTTCTGACGTCCGACTCCATTGAAAAAGACTGATTTTTCGAATTGCATTCTGTTTACGATTTTAAATCTTTTGTTAATTTTAAACTTAAATTGGTTAGTTTCTATTTAAATTGGTTAATTAACTTTTAATTGATTTCATCGATTAAGATGAAATAAAATAATTCTAATTTGATTTTTGATAAAATCGCACCGTTATCTGAAAAAAAATATATTGAAGGATATATTTAAAAAAATAATAAGTATATATACGTGTGTGTGCGTATATATGTGTATAGACTGTTTAAAAAAGGTTGAGGTCTCTTAATATTTCGAAAAATACGCATTTTCAAAAGAAATATTTTACACGAAAATTGTAGGGTTTTAAATAGTGCATTATATTTATAATAATAGTATTATTTTGAATAACACTGTTGAAATCACGTAAAGCTCATCTTGAAATTTTTAAAAAGAATCCTCCATTTTTTAATATTTTCTTATTCTTATAGCATATATTCTTATAACATATTCTTATAGCTTTACATGAGAGCTTTTTAAAATACTATAATAAAATATTTTTCTTTTATTTTTCTTTTACTTTTCGAATTGAGACTTGAAATAATTTTTTAATTTTATATTATATAATTTTATGTAAAATATTTTGTAAAATATTTTTATGTAAAATATTCAATTTTTTATGATATTACTTCAATATTTAATAACAGATATTATTCATGCACAAAATAATGAGAGGAAGCAATTGATGTAAAAAACATAGTTGTTTTTAAGAAGTCTTTTAAAAAGCTCTTTAGTAAACTATAAGAATATGTAATAAAAATGAAGGATTCTATTTGAAAATTTCAATGATCTTTTCGATGTGTCTTTATATGATCTTGATAACGTTATTCAAGGTACTAGTAGTCCTATACTGGGTGATTCTGAACAAACGTTTATCTTTAAAATATCAAATTCTTGAATGAATTCTAAAACGATTTTTCCTCTTGCAAAATTTTGCCCGGAGCTTAATTTTTAAACTATAAAGGAATAGTTAACTACTTACGGAATGATTACAAAAGATAGGCAGACGCAATATAGGCGATTTGGGGCACTCGCCGCAATTAGCTAATTGCCCCACGTAATGCCTATCTTTTGTAATCGTTCCGTAGTTAACTATTAACTAAGTAGTTAACTATTCCTTTATAGTTTAAAAACTAAGCTCCGGGCAAAATTTTGCAAAAGGAAAAATCGTTTAAGAATTTATTCAAGAATTTGATATTTTAAAGATAAATGTTTGTTCAGAATCATCCTGTATAATGCGCTATTTGAAATCCTTCAACTTTTGCAATGGACACAAACATTTTTCCAAAAATACTAGTATTTTTCGAAATATTAAGGGATCTGGACTTTTTTTTTGAACACACTACTAACGCAGATATATATATATATATATATATATATATATATATATATATGTATCTGCATTTGGATCAATATTGGATATATGTTGTTAGTCAATATTGCTCCAATAAAGTGTGCTACTGGGGCATGTACTATTAACAATAAGTAACAATAAATCTTTCCTGTAAATTACGAATGACTTAATCAAGGTAGCTATAGAATGTGATGAAAATTATACATATATATATATATATATATATATATATATATATATATATTAAATTATATATACACCCAGCAAGTAACAGTTATTTAAGTTGTTCGTTATAATTTTATGTAACAGTATTACATACATTACATATAACAGTTATATTGTTGAATAGAAATTATAACTAACAATTATATAACTATTACTTGGTGCTTGCTGGGCATATATACATATATATATATAGGGTGTATCAAAATTCGCGCCAATTTGTGACAGTTAATTTTTAATAAGGGCTGGTGCCTTTGGCATTCGCACTCAAAAATCTATAATTCTGGGCCGTCGCACTCCTTGCCGAACAGTGAATGTCTGATACCGAATATTATCTGTATGTTAAATATACGCTAATTCTTGCTATAATAGTCTGTTTTATTTACAACAATCTTGTATTCTTGATTCTTCCTTGTTAATTAAAATAAAATAAACCGCCCTTCTACCAATTCCGAGACGGGGCTATGCGAGCGTCCGTTGCGATCAGTTTGAGAACCTTTTGTTCCTTTTTTTTTGAGTATCTTATAATATCGCAAAATTTTTTTCTTAAAGCGGTGCGTACTTCCGCACCTTGCACATACAAATTTAGAGTAATATTTTGAGAAGGAATCGCGCCGAAGGTGTGCCGTGGGCCAATATCATCGGTCATAGTTTATTACCAGCTTTTATTAAAAATTAATGGTCACAAATTGGCGATGCACAGCATTGTGGGATGCACAGCGAAATTGTTCGTACTAAAACAAACAACTTTTTCCTTTGAGAAAATTGCGTCTGAGCATTACTTTTTAAATGAGAACAACTTTAAGCTAACGAATAAGCGCTTTAGATTACGCTTGTGTCAGGGTCGGCGCGCGCGCGGCATATGTGGCGTTTGAGCATGTACGCTATTTTACTATTTCACTAAAGGTTTACAAGAATTATGTATGATATCTAAATATCTATTTTCAATATACAACGTATTTAATAAGAGATTCTTTAAATTGATATCATCGAAGCAACGATTGAAAGTAAAATAAGTAGATTAGAATAATTTTGATCCAAAGTTATTGCTCCTACGTTCTAAATATTTTTTGGCTTTGAAAAGGTCCGATTAAATGTGTTAAATGTTTAGCACATGTTCGAAATGTAGATTTTCTATTTGTATATTCGCTCTGCGTATGAGATTTTTTGTATACGTTGGATCATTTCCGATTTGACGATTGCTATTGCGCAATAAAGTTGCTTTTCGAAATCTTCTAGCATTTCCACAGAATTTCGGTAAATACATTTTTTTTTTAAATAAAAGTGGTCAATTAGGCGTAGAGAGCTAGAGATAAAAAAAATGATGTAGGTTAATTAGTCAAAATATATATTTATAATTTAAAATACAATATCAAAAAACAAAATCGATGTAATACCTATATATAACAAAATTATAAGAAAATTGAAGTTGAGTGCGGACGTTTCGACTTACTTTTAAGTCATCTTCAGCGCAAATATTGAAAAGAAGTTAGAGCATTTATAAAACGGTTCGCAGAGGTAGAAAACGGAAATTAAAAGTAGAAAAAATATATAAACAAATGTTAATCAGAAAGGAGATCAACTCCGAATGCCAACGGTTGTGCATAGTAAATCGTAGACAGCTTACAAATCTTAGAGGAGACGCAACTCCAGACGCAACGGTTGTTCATGGTTTGTTTCGAACGGCTTCCAAATATTTTCAATGAGTGAAACAACTCTCATTTGGGTTAATTGGCCCAAAGTTGAGTATGGTTCATCAGAGAATCTGTAAGACCGTGTGAAAATAAAAATAAAAGTAAATAAACAAAAGGAAAATAATTTAGCAATGTAAGTATTTATAGAGAGTCAAATAACTATTAAAAAATAATAATTGGTTTAAAAAGAAAACAAAAAAAAACTAGCTGGGAAATAAACAAATAAAGAATAAGAAACAAGCAAGTCAAAAGTATAAAACAATGTTAGTCATTAGCATAAAAATCGAAAAAAATGAAAAAATATATATGCGGTTCAATAATAATAGATGATTAAAGTAAGAAAATGATAATAGAAAATACAAAAAATAATTTTTATATAATAAACCATGAGGAATTTAACAATTTATCACGCGGAATTTAACAATTTATCAGGACATAAAAATCAATAAGAAAAGAAAGATAAAAATAACTTACATTGCTATGCGGAACAAAGTTGAACATGATTAAACGTTAAAAGAATTTTCAGGTAAACAAGTATGTTAACAGTTCCTTATAAAAACCTTTGTAACACTTCCTTTTACGAAGGCAGGAATATAAATGACGAAAAATAACGTACATATGGTCGTGTAGATTTCTGTGTATGACCCTTAGATATTCGGAAGTTTATTTATTATATCGTTGTAAATGTCAGGAAAACAATCTGTATCCGTTTGTAAATTTAAACCGTTTTGTTGTCTTTTAATGCATATCATTTCGGAAATTAGCCTTTTATTATAAAAGGATTCTTTATCTAGTATCTTGATCTCGTCCCACTTGAATTCATGATCAAAATTCAACATATGAATAGAGTTACAACTAATAAGTCTGTCATCACCTATGTTAGGTAATGACAGACTTATTAGTTCTAACTCTATTCATATGTTTCTTATGTTCGTCTTGTGATGACCTTCTGCCTGTCTGACCTTCTGCCTGTCTGTCCGACATAGAATACGTCGCAATTCCCACATTCAATTTTGTAAACAACATTCTTGTTCGAATCTTTCGGGATTACGTCTTTATGAGCCTTAATAATCGTGTTAAGCTTATTAAGGCTATAATATGACAACGTTGTATTCGTGTCTTTCAGGATGTATC